TGCTGGTGTGGTCACTTACAAAGACACTCGACACAAGCTTTCCTTTATGGACTCCCCATTTCAGACAGCAGTTGGACAGACTCACCAGTCTTTTTCTTGTCTGGGATCCTGATGTCAGTTCCATTGCCCCTATAAACACTATATGTGCTGAAGAGAGGTATCTAATGCCTGAGATATGGATGGGTCTGTGATTCTGTGACCTCACCTCCCCTTAGACCTTTAATTATCTTTTCACTTGCAGTAGCAATGGACAGGCAGCTGTGAACAGCCAAAGAACGCTTCTGAGAATTGTTCATCTCAGGTGAAAGGGAAATACAATTGCTATTTTCTTTCCCTCTGAAGAGAATATTGTACGTGCAGATGATGGTCTTATAATTCTTGATCCCAGGTGGAAAACACTATCTCACCGGGATGGAGCAGGAAATACTGAGTTCTGACATGTGAAGGACTAGCAGTGAGCTATGGAGGTCTCATTGCATTCTTTCCTGCCACAAGGAAGCCTACTTAGTTATTTCCTATTTGTGAGTCTAGAGCAGTGGTTCTCAACCTGTGGGTCACGACCCTTTGGGGCGGTAAATGACCCTTTCACAAGTGTTGCCTAAGACCATTGGAAAACACAGATATTTATATTTCAGTTCATAACAGTAGCAAAACTAGTTGTGAAATAACAATGAAAGTAATTTTAAGGCTGGGGGGGGGGGTCCCCACACCATGAGGAACTGTATTAAAGGGTTGCAGCATTAGGAAAACTCTGAACCACTGCTCTTGAGTGACACCATTTACGATGTTGAAAGATAACCAAAATGAGACAAATTTATGATGAAGATCTTAATAGATTTGTATAAAATACACTAATAATTCATATAGCCAATCATTAGATCCCTTTACACAGTCAGTCATTCTGAACTTACATCACATTCTGTTGCCAACCGTTACTTAGCTTCTATCGCAAAATACACTTTATCATTTGTACTGCCCTTAGTAATAAGAAGGAAACCTAAACTACATTTAAAAATAAAAAACTGAAGGTTCTGAAAATGTGAGTGATAAGTGAGAGCAGCAGGGGCAGATGTAGTGACAAGTCATGTGCTCCTCAAGTGCTGACGAAATCCTTCGTTTTAGTTAATCCTGTCCTTCCCACCATCTTCTCCCACATCCGACTCCCATCCCCATTTAAATCTCACCATCTCTAGTTTCCTATCCCTCTGTTTGCCCAGCATATGTCACACTATCTACCCTTTCATCAAGTCTTTCTCATCCATCTTGGGACCATCATCATTTCCAGGTTTGCAAAGATATTCCAAATTACATAGACAAATATCAAAACTCTTAGCTATAACCTTCATATAAAGGAGAACATGCAACATTAGTCTACCTGAGCCTGAGTCACCTCACTTGTTTTCCAGTTTGATAAAACAGATTTATGAGAACTTGTGTTAGCTCTTCCAAATGTTTGGAAGAATTTACAGGGACTCCATCTGGGCCTTGCTTTGTGGGAAGCATTCTAGTACTGCTTCAGTCTCATTCAATGTTTTGGCTCTGTTCAAGTTCATATATTCTCCTTCGTGTTTTTTTTAATTTAAATGCATATGTAGAATATGTTTTGATCAAACAGACCCCTTGTCTCAGCTTCAATTCTTCCCCTACTCACCTTCCAACTTGACATGCTCTTTTCTTTTTACATTCTTCAACTGACATACACACTGAGGAAGAAACCATGAAAATAATATCATTCACCATAGTCTCACAACATTCAAAATATGTTGGAATAAATCCAATACAGGAAATGAAAGAGTTACATAGTGAAAATTTTAAGATACTGAAGAAAAAAAGGCAGAAGATGATACCAAACCATGTAAAGAACTTCCATGCTCATAGATTGGCAGGATTAATATCATGAAAATGGTCATCTTACCTCAGGCAATCTACAGACTCAGTACAATTACCATTAAAATTCTGGGAAGCAGTTTTTTACAGAAATTGAAAAAAAAAACCTTAAATTTTGTATGGAAACACAAAAGACCCAGAGTTATTAAAGTAATAATGAGCAACACAATAACTACTGGAGGTATCACTATCCCAGATTTCAAGTTATACTACACAGCTATAGTAATAAAACCAGCATGGTACTTATATGATTACAGACACACTGATCAATGAAATAGAAGCTAGGACTCACATGTAAGCCCACACTCCTATAGTCACCTGACTTTTAAAAAATACTTGTAATTAAAAATGATTTAATGTATATGGTATTTTGCATGTATGTCTGTGCCACTTTCACGTCTGGTACCCTTGGAAATCAGAGGAGGGCATCGTATTTCATGTAACTGGAGTTACAGACACTTGTGAGCCACCAATTGAACCTAAGTCCTCTTTCAGTGTTCTTAACTGCTGAGCCATCTCTCCATCCCAAGCTACCTTGTTTTTGACAAAGAGGCCAGGAATACACAAGAGAAGAAATCATCTTTTTTTTTTTTTTTTTTTTTATTTATTTATTTATTATGTATACATTGTTCTGTCTGTACGTATCCCCACAGAAGAGGGCACCAGATCTCATTACAGATGGTTGTGAGCCACCATGTGGTTGCTGGGAATTGAACTCAGGACCTTTGGAAGAGCAAGCAGTGCTCTTAACCTCTGAGCCATCTCTCCAGCCCGAGAAGAAATCATCTTTAACAAACGGTGCTTGTCAAACTAGAGAGCTATGTGTAGAAGAATGAAACTAGATCTTTATCTCTCACTCTCCATAAAACAAAAATCTCCAAATGGATCAAGAGCCTCAGCACAAGACCTGATACCTGAACCTGATAAAGGATAAAATAGAGAATATGCTCGGCTAAACTTACTATCACTGATAGCAGAGGGGTTAAGACCAACAACTAATAGATGGGACCTAATGAAACTAAAATTGTCTGTACAAGAAAAGACACCAACATTTAAGGGGCAGCCTACAGAATATGAAAACATGTTTACCAGCTACACATCAGACAAAGGATTAGTATCTGGAGTAGACAAAGAAAGAAAAAAACAAAGCAACAACAACACACACACAAAAAAAAATTCAAGGAAACAACTTAATTCCTAATAGTGATGTTTGAATTTATTGCAATGTGAGTTTTCAAATTATTTCCTAACTCATTTTTATCCACTTTTATATGTATTTTAAAAATATCCATTTTTATCCACTTTTTTAAAATTCAATTTGTAATTTCAGTAATTTGTGTCTGCTTGATTTTTCTCCTTTACTTAGTTTGCATTAAGGTGTGCCAATCTTCTCTATCATCTCATGGAACCAATTCTGTTTTTAATGATTCTTTGTATCATTCTTTTGTTTTAGATTCATCAGACTTTCTCTGTTCTCAGTTCAGAGAAAGAAGAGAAAGAGAGAAGGGGGAGAGGGAAAGAGAGACTTGTTTAAGTCATCAGTAGTATAATTAAGCTACTTATTTGAAATCTCTATAACTTTTGTGAAAAATATAGCAAACATGGTGTAAAAGAGAATGTACAGAAGACAATGGGCATGAGTAACCTTTCCACCTGAGAGAGTGTCGGGCATTGTGATTGGCTCTGTCTGGACCTGGTTATGAGTTAAATCATGGTTTAGATGATGTATGACAGATAATTGACCAGGCCTAGCAGGTCATCTTTCAGTGACAGGGTCATAAGGGGGAGGTGGCAAGGAGATGAGAAGATAAAGAAGATAGAAAATCTGGGGTCAGGTGGCCTTTCATAAGCCATATCCATGCCAAGCAAGTTTATTAAGAAGTCTGGGCATCATATATTATTTGCAGGGGGTGAAACGGGGCAGAGTTCATGGAAAGCTATCACACAGTGGAACAAAATCAGCAAGAGGCTATTCAAACAATGTTGCATGAGAGGAACACAGGGCTTCAGAGACAGAGCACATGGCAGCCGTGGGTCTCATAACTTCAAACAAGTTCCCAGGAACTGAAACTTAACTCGTTTGAAGCCCTGGCCCCTAACTCCAGACAGGACCTTTCCATATCTGCTCCTGGGAAAGGACCCAGAACTGGGTTCCTTTTGTCCTTTCATTAGGGTCTCTGAGAAAACCTTGGGTAGATCTGGATATCAACAGGTGATGTTAAAGCATCTCATGTTTTGGGACACAGAAGGCTTGACGAATGCGCTGAGACACTGAAAATGGATAAGTATGTCCGGACAGGAGCAGAGGGAGCTCAGTCTTTTGGGAACAGCCTAAGAGCATCAGTTGGAAGACAGAAGAGAGCATCAGATCCCCTAGAATTGGAGCTAGAGGTAGTTGTGAACCACTATGTGGAGCTTGGGGTTTAAGACCACAGGAAGCAACTCTGAAGAACACAATTTTCTGTATCACTGATGTCAGAGTTGCATACAAAGATGGGCACAATTAGTAAAATTCTATGAGCTGTGTATTAAATGCACACTACTTATAAAAATGGGAAAAGGTGGCATTGCATAAGTTTCACAGACATAATCAACAAAGAAAGAAGAAAATAATACAAGTGCCAAAAAACCTCACTCATTATTTCCTAGAAAATTGTATCATGTTGCCATGAATGATTAATCTTTGGAAATTCCTTCAAATATGCCCATTATTGTATGGGCACAAATGTTTATTATTCAGTTGTCAGACATTGCTAATTTTCTGAACACTGTTCATGAAGACAAAAAGGAACAAATGTTTCACTATATTAATTTTTTTTACAACATAAGTGTTAAGCAAAAGTTAGTAATTTAGTATATATTCAATCAATTTAACCAGTTAATTAAATAAAATGAAAAGATAATATCAAGGTTAATATGTTATTTTTTGGTTTATTAAGCTTGATAAATAATTTAACTAAAGACATTTATTTGTTCACAAAAAATAAGGTATGCAAATACACACATAATATAGCATGCAAAATTTATGTGCGTGGTTCACACATGTATCACACTCACTTTATGATATGATAGTTTCACCAATGTACTGAGAATGTATAGGTGATAGAATAACAACTAAACATTGTTCAGAAACAAATAGTTTACATGTTGATCATGTGATTAGTATTTTCTATTCCTTGCCCATTGAAGACAGAATGAAGATTCACAGGAATCATGGGTCATCAGCAGAAAGGGACTCACAGTTGGGAAACACCCAGAGACAATTGCAGCAGCATATACCATGAACCATGTGGGATGATAGAAAAGAGCTAAATGGGTATGTATGAGGCAGGAAACTGTGTAAAAACATACAAAGGTGCTCACCAGGAGCAGAATGGTCTTTGTGGCTCTGGTCTCAGAGGAGGACCTGAGGGAGACATTGCTCCTGCGAATGTGCTTCATTCTCTGCTTGTGTCTGTAGAGGATGAAAACCATGGAGCTGCTGGACCAAAGCATCAGGCCCACAAAACACACATCAGGACTTGTGAGTAATACTGAATAGAAGATGTCACTGGCTTTGTCATGACGGATAGAGGAACAGTATCCAAACTCTTTTAGACTTGTGATATTTGTATTGCTGGACTTCGCAGTTATGTGCACAGGAAAAACTATGTTTATAAGAAGGGACAGGATCCAGGTCAGATATGTGGAAGAGCCAATGTACCTGGGAGCTTTCAATTTACACTTTGACCATGTTGAGCCCATGGGGCTGATAGTAATAACCTGGAAGACACTCAAGAAGCAGGTGCTGCTGATGGACACTGTCCTCCCCACCCTGTGGAGATAGGAAAGTAGTTTGCACCCAATATCCCAGAAGATGTCTTTCCAACCAAAAGCTGCCATTGTCTGGGGCACTCCATTACACAGTAGACTTAAGATGTTTGCCGTAAGCAAGTGATGCTGGATATAGTCTGTAGACCTTAACCTGCACCCCCTGAAGTGAAGCAACAGATAATAGTGGAGGAGATAGGAATTGCCCAGAATTCCAGTGACAGTTTGTGATAAGAAGATCACTCCAATTGCCACATTTGTGGCTGCCATGCTGTTGATTCTTGTGGTCTGAGCGCAAGGATCCTGCACAGGAAGGTGAAGTATGGGTTTCATGTATCAAGTCAACTCAACATTCTCCATCACCGGTTAACCCTTTATGAATATTTCCTTCACACTTGTTTTATTAAGAGGCTTCTAAGAAACCATCTACTAGTGTAGGAAACATTTATAATGTATACGTTTCTACTGCAAGACAGCACATCATAACCATCTTTTCATCCTCTCTGCTCATGGTCTAGAAGGCAGGCATGACTCTAGTTTTATTTGTAAATTTAGAACTCTAGAAGATAGTAATATTGGATGATGTGGAAGGATGGAGTATGTAGGTAAAAGAATACATGAGTCATGAAAGAGGATAGAAAAGCAACTATTTTTAGATTCAATTTCATTGCAGTTCATGTGTGTGTGTGTGTGTGTGTGTGTGTGTATGTGTGTATGTGTGTATGTGTGTATGTGTTCAACCTTGTTACATTGAAGTAGCAAGAAACATTTTTCCACTTAAAAGGAATCTAGAATATGTTGTTCTTTTGAGGCAGTGATTGTGGACTGAAGTGGAATAAGGTAAAAGATCAATTATTGGATATTTATTGATTGATTTACTTAGAGCACCCCTTGTACTGCCTGTTTTCCAAAATGACTTCACTTGTGACCTGGAGAAATAGCCAGAACAAAATGTCATTGCCCTTTAAAAACCTGCTGAATACAATGTAGGCTTCTGTAAAATCTCGATTGCTGGCCTGCCCACCTTGTGGTTTGATAATGCAAACTGGACCTGAGACCGAGGCCTTGCTGGAATTATTCTGGCTTCGTTCCACTGGTGACATCTGCTTTCTTCCACTGTCATCAGTGTCAAGGTGCTTATTCGAGAACTATCCCACAACAAGCCTTTCTTTTAATCACATTGATCATTAATGGTATAGGAATCAGACAAGAGGAGTCACTGAATACATTTGTTGTACTGACTCATTTAGAAAAATTATTTAAAAATTTGTTCAGATGGGACGGGTTTTGTAAGCAGAAAGTTTTTTCTTCCTTTGAAAACTATCAAATCACCCTGGAATAGTATTATTATTTTATAGCAATAACTGCTGTATATAAAGTATTATTTAAAGAAATAAGAAAGTGTGGTGACTATCTGGGTTATGCTTCTGAGAGCTCATGCTTGATAAATGGGAAAATTGGGACTTGAACGTATCTGAGGATGGATAGAGAGCACAGTGAGCCAACATCCTCCCTACAAAGAAGTACATGGGTACCTCACACATTCATATGAGCTTGCAACAACCATCATTTTACATATTTGATAGTGAGAATTATTCTTGTGTGTTGAGATATTTATTACATAAGGTAGTAACCATTGTTAGTGAACATCCAGGTATTTTAATTCAATGACGAATATGTAATAGTTCTGAAACCTGGCCCATGGTAAACACTGAGCATCTGTACACAGAGAGCTCAGTCCTAGGACTGACAATTAATAATTTATCTAAGCTAATTTATGCACTGAGTAGCATTTAATACAAGGATTTAATAGTCTTTTCAAAGAAAGAATTTAGTATCACACAAATATCTAGAAATCTATGATAAGAATCTATCAGTCATTACATGCTTTGTCATAATTTAAGAAGCCACAGACAGTTGTAGAGTGGGAGACATGAGCAACATTATTATTGATCTGATGATATGCTTATGTACCTGATACCTGAGTTAGTGAGACCATTTTCTATGAAGCAAGACATGTAAATAACACCACACACAAGGGTCATCATACTCACAGATATGTGTTGGCAGAGAGTTTGTTCATTTAAATTGAAGATATCTGATTTCCATGATATATAATAGATATTTCTTAGAACAGGGCTAAGTTCACAGTTCTCTTGAGAAGTTCAAGAAGAGAATTCCAGATGGCTCTACACACTCACACAAACCTCCTCTACCAGACCACCACACTAGGTGAGCGTATATTTTCTCCAATACGGAGGATGCTTTTAAACAAGTGGAAACAAGGTGATACACATCTTAGTGCTGGTATAAGAAGCATATAATATCCATTTGAACTTCTTTCTTTAAGATTTCTTTGCAGGATTTCTAGAAGGGAAACAACATAATCATAACAAAAGGCGATGATGTCAGGGTGGAGACAATTCACATCTCCATTACCTTCATTGTGTGTCAAAAGTTAGAGAAAACTGTCTACTCAAACAGTTTCCTTATGCATGCCCACAACTACAAGCTTCCTCTACATACTGTCCACCTTTTACACAATGCATGGGGAAACCATAAGCATCGACCTAAGGAACTTAGAATTCAGGTTCAGATTCCTGTAGTGGAAGCTGAGCAAGCAAACAAACTATACACATAATCATGTTAGGAATACAGTTTCATTAAGACTTTGAAGAAGCAACACCCACATTGTGTCTGAAAATTTCTTTGAGTCAAGGGAAGCAAATATCAAGCATGAGTCTAAGATCACATTGTTTCTTGTGCCTTGAACTCAATTGCCAGATCCTTTTCTGCTTCCTGTGATGCTGTGCTATCCAAACAGGTTCAGTCTACATCTTTTTTCTCATAAGATCACTTACCCAGATGCCCGGAACAGCTTTCCCATCCACACTTTGCTCCTCGCATGACAGTTGGAAAACCCGTTCATCCTTTTTATCTCTGTCATGGTCTCTATGACTAGGAGAAATCTGTAGAAAAGAAGATAGTGCCTGAGATATGGATCTGTGGATCTGTGTGATTCTGTGACCGCACCTTCCCTCAGATCTGAAATGATCATTTTATATTCAGTAGCAAAGGGTACAAATGTCTAGACAAGAATGTTTTGCCAAGTTAACTTTCTCACCACATGACAGTTTTAAAAAGAAAAGATCCTTGGAGGCAGACTTATGTGTATCCAGGGAAAGGGAATCCTGAAGCCTTTCTGGGATTTTTAGTGAGCTGTACACTTGCCATTCAATTGCTTCCTTAATTGGGGGTTGCATACACAAAATCTATGTATTTTTGATTTCTCATCTCAGTAAACACTTCACTATTTTCTCTTTTAGGGAAGAAAGTGAATAATAAAGCATAGCTCAAAGAAAAAGAACAGAATGCTAACATTCGAAATAGCTTTCAGTAACCTTCCACAAAGTGTGTACAGTTTTAAAAGCTTTAAAGTATTTGTGAACTTTATTAATCATATCACGATCTATGGAGGGAAATCAGGAGTGTTTGTAGGGTGACCTGCATATGTGTGACACAGAGAGGTGACAACTCAGGGAGAAGGAGATGGAGCAAGATGATGGTGGAAGATACCAAATACAGAAAGACAGGAAAGAGTGAAGAGGGTCAAATGGAGAAATATTAAAAATCCAATGGGAGAGAAGCAACATGGCTGCTTTGGCCATAACAGTGGACAAAATGTTGACTTTGAAGCTAGGCTGTGGTGGTTCACACCTCTAGTCCCACCACTTAGGAGGCAGAGGCAGGCAAATCTCTGTGAGTTTGAGGCCAGCCTGGTCTACAGAGCAAGATCCAGGACAGGCACCAAAACTACACAGAGAAACCCTGTCTCAAAAAAAAAATATTGACTTTGTGAAAGATATCAGACTTGTTTTGTGCTGGAAACACAAAGATGACTATTGCTGTGGGCTCAATGAAATGAGCACCAAGTGTTACACTTGAAATTATCTACAAATTTCAGAGATCATTCAGTACTTCTGTGGTAGCATGCAGGTAGATTAACAGTATTATTGTTAATCCAATAACATTTGAGGCTGAGATAGAATTACGAGTTAGAAAACAGCCTGAGATACCTATAAAAATATTTCAGATAGCTGGATGGTGGTGGCGCAAGCCTTTAATCCCAGCACTCGGAAGGCAGAGCCAGGCGGATCTCTGCAAGTTCCAGAACAGCCTGGTCTACAGAGCGAGATCCAGGACAGACACCAAAACTACACAGAGAAACCCTGTCTCGAAAACACACACACACACACACACACACACACACACACACACATATATATATATATATATATATATATATATATATATTTCAGATAACAACCCCCAGCCACATTGTTTTGCAATAGACAGAACTTGACATTCTTCTCTTCTTTATAAGATTTAAATAAACATTCTGGAAACCTAGCCAGCTACCCAAGGCTACTGAGGATGAACTTCGAAGGAGAACCTATTACCACAAATTTAGTAAACCAGCATAATTACTAATGACGTTCTAAATATTTATCCTTCAGCCACAGGTTAGTGCTGCTTTCGCCCTAAGTCAAAAAAAACTTCTCTTTGCAACAGGAAGAGACCATTACAGAAAACCACAGTCAATTCAAATGAAGACAAAAAGATATTATTTAGTACCTACTCATAACTGATACATCTACAACACAACTCCTGCACTTAAGACTTGGAGGTCATTATGGGAGAGTAGGAAAATAAAAGATTATAAGAGTCCGAAGAACAGGAAATCTGCTGTGAAATTTTTGTCTCCTAGAAATGTCAAGAAATCTACACTCAAGAAGTCCCATCAATAGGGCTGCCTAACCAAGACCTGAACAAAGACAACCTCAATAGACATGGTAACATAAAAGGGAGAAATAGCACTGGACCCAGACCTGGACAAAGAACTATAGATTGCTAAAAATCCTGAGATTAAGAGAAATGGTCTGCCCCAGGGAAGAGCACCCCCAATTGGTTATGCAATATAAAGTCATCAGCTTGAAAATCAAATACATATATGTAACATTATACAGACTGAGTAGGTTGTGTGTGTGAGTGTGTGTGTATATGTGTGTGCATGTATGCATGTGTGTATGTGTAACAATAATTAAAGAAAAAGAGCCATGAATTTGAGAAAGAGCAGTATGATACATAGGAGGAGTTTGAGGGAGGAAAGGGAATGGTGAAACCAATGTAATTATATGTTAATTTTAAAAATTAAAAAATCTATAGGGTAAAAATTTTCATATTTCAGGCATGGGAAGATCTGATTCAGA